CCTTCACAGTGGCACCCTTCTTTATATTTCACATGGTCAAGGACTGAGGTCCTGGCATTCTTAGGCTACTGGGATACAGAATACGCTTCTGGTGTGGATGCTAACACTACAGCACAACACCTGCAGCCATGGAAAACTACTCTAAAGACAAGATGCTGGTCCTCCAGCACAGAAGAACATCCACTTGCCTGCAAATAGAACAATGGATCTTAAACTACTACAGAAGTAGCCTTTAACAGGTGGGCAAAACCAGACCATCTCCAGATTCCTGACACTTTATGAAGCCACCCTATGCGTACTGCTCTCTCCCCTTCTCTTTAGCGCCTTTTGTTGGGCAGCGACTGAATGGGTGAAATAAATAAGCATACTGAGGTGTGTGGAGGTACAAATCAGGTTGTAAGAAGAAAATGTTAGTGTCATTAAAAGCTTTGAAATCTTTAATTTAAAGAAGAAGCCTCAGGGGAAACCCTCCCTGGAGAGCTGCTGCTCCATATACTGAGATGTAGCAGATGGAGATTTTAAACTAGAGCTATCCATGTATTTTTAACTCAAACCTACAAGGAAGGCCTAGAACCAGTTCTCAGGGGGTTTTTTTGTAGACAGTAGAAGGAACGTACAACCATGACAGAATCATGATGGTTTCATTCTTTCACTCATTATTCTTTCCTCAGTTTCATTATTAGCAGAAATGAAAAGCTAGGAAAGTGACACAATAACCCAAGCTCACTATAAAAGCCATATATTGCATTATGGTGCAGAAAGGGTAAATTACTGCTACAAGTGCTTCCAGAAATCTAAATTCAGACACATACTCACCATTTGACATTTTCTTCATATGAAAATATGTGGTAAACCCATTTATGCTCCAGGAATTTTAGATGTACTGCTTAATGCTGTTCAAATCATTTTCATATCATAAAAATATTTTTGAGTTTGTTTTTTATACATCTATTCCCCCTACTGGCGATATTTATTTTTATTTGGATGTGTAAAAAAAAGAAAATGTTTTACCAACAGAAAGAGAAAATAGAATCAGGATTGATTTGTTCAAAGTGTTATAATATTCCTTTGTGGGTGCCAGCTACCTTATACAGTCTTGAGAAAAAAATAAAATGTGATGTTCCTAGCATAATCTTGTCCCTGCTCACATTCTCTGCTGTGGTAAATAATCCCCCTCTCAGCCCATCATCTAAATATTTGTTTTAAACCATAGATTCAATCTAGTGCCTTGCATATGATGCTTGAAAATAAGCATATATAATTGTACTAAGGGAAATCAGAAAGGTGCGCTGGGGAATGTGTTGATTTACACAGGGGAGATTCAAAACCTGCCTCAGCCATGAAATTTACTCAGGAACACTGTATCTGCTACAGGTTAAGGCATGGAACTGAAACATGCAACATGTACTCCTAAAAACACAAATGCTGGTGTTCCACGCCTGCCTTTTTACTTGGCAATGGATGCATTTGTCATTAAATACTGAGTAACTTGCTATAAAATTTAAAAGTGTACTCAATGAAAAGTATAATTTAAATAACAAACTGCACACAAACTTGTGTTTTCAACCTTGTGTGTGATGGGGTACAGATGGGTAGAGGAATTGGGAAAGCCTTGTTTTATAAGCAAAACTCCACTGGCAAATCTTATTATCCAAACCATTATGTTTTTAGGAGTATCAACGAAGCACCATAGAATCTAAGAGGTGCTGCCCAACATCTGTTTCAATCTTAAAGGGTGAAAACCTTGGAACCCTTGCTACTGTGATCTATTTAGACCTTGCAGAGCAAATTGTACTTAAATCATAAACATGTGCATTGGGAGTTGAGGGAAAAATCACATTTCAGCTGTTCCATTATCTTTGTGCTTTATGATCACAGTTAGGAACTGCCATGGGCTTAGGAGTAGCCTAGCACTCAAAGCTCCTCCACTTGCCAGGTCTGTCTTTTGAGAAAATCCTCAAAATGGTTGCTTCCCAACTGTGGATTTCTCTTTCCACAGTGTGTGAATATTTATCAGAGGTAACCTAAGGCTTCTGTGTTTTGGCAAACATGGCCTAAGGGTAAGTTTTGTAATACAGCTGCATCTGTACTATAATACAGGGTTTTTTGTGTAATCTTGAAATCTCTACTAGTGATAGGTTGAACTGTGATGTCATAGAATGCTTCTGAAAGTTTTAATTGTTCATTGAATTAATCCAGCCTATGTGTTGAAAGCTGAAGCTCTGTTTGGTTGAAACAAGAGACATGGGGAAGGAATCTGAGGACTGCAAAGTGGGAAGATGACTCATCAGAAGAAAAGCTAAGGGGCAGGGCACTCATAGGCAGAACAGCTGAAGAACGGGGACAGAATAGGTGGTAGACAGATGAAGGAAAGGCAGAAAGAGTATACAGCTGAAGGAGGAACAAATGAGAAAAGAGATTGCTGAAAAACACTATTTATCCCATTTGTTTAAACTTTGGTAAATCTTAACCATATCATTAAAGCTCTGCACATATATCTGTTAGCTATTCTTATCCCAATTCAGGTACCCTTGTAAACAGTTGTAAACACTGTTACTGTTATGCAGATGTCTGAAGTTGTATAAATGATGAAATGTTAATAAATTGGGGTGGGGGGGGAATAGGATTACAAACAGTATATTCAACATTAGCCATTTTCATCAACCTAACAACCTAAAAAATTAATGACTGGGCTTCTATCTTATAGAATTTTTAAATTTTCAGTTTAAAAATATATAAAAGCTTTCTTCCCATTCTACTATTGTGACTTACCACACTTTGGTAACCGTGAGAATTCATTCCCTGATTTAACACTCAAATCCTTTTTCTCATATATAACTCTTATGAAAAAATGATTTTCCAGCATTAGGTCATGTGACTAGATCCTAATCACATGAATATTAGACTGTTAGGTCCTCAGTGCAAGGACCTGTCCTCTTGTACTCGTAAAATGCCATGCACATTGATGGCGCATATTATTTCTACTACTAATACTGTACTAATGAATGCTTCTGTTCTGATCTGCATGCGTAACAATTCCTTACAAAAAGGGTTTAAGAACTGACATATTAATGTATTTTTCAAATGAGAGACAAAGGAAGAAATTTTCACTGATGGTGAAACAAGAAACAAATGTTTCTTTCTGTCCTAAAATGGGAGTGCATAAATAGCCTACCAGACATATTGCATTTTTGCTAAATACAAGCTCTGTGTTTAGAGGCAGTATACCTCTGAATACCAAACACTGGGAATAAATAATAAGGGAAAGCTTTTGCTTGTATGTCCTGCTTGTCAACTTCCAGAGGAATCTTAGCCACCCACTGTTGGAAACAGGATGCTGGTCTACATTGTACCATTGGGACTCTCCTTAAGTTCTTACATTGAAATGGATTCTGCAAGGCGGGTCCACTTGTGCACGAAGCTAATCAGATGGCCAGTACTTTCACCCACTTTCACAGTATCAGTCACTTGTTTGGGGGATGGAGATGATTCAAAGTACCCCATTCCTATGTCCCCATCAATAGGTGATCATTGCACTTTTACATAAAATACATTTAAGCCTGCCCCTTGTTCTTGAGGTGCAATATGGTTGTCAATGCAGAACAGACAATTGAAGGGAGCCATTTTTAATCAAATTATGTCCCAATGTAGCATTCATTCTGAATTATGGATGTGGGAAATTATATATTTTTTAAAACAACAAAGATTCTGCACAAATGATGGTGCTTACTGCCTGCTACAGTAAGGCAATGCCACTCTTATGTCAGCAGTGTTGCAGGGATATTGACCTTAGTGTTGCAAACAGATCTGGCAGCTCAAATGATCAACATGCCAAGGTTCAAATGCAGCATGTTTATAACCAGAGAAAATAAATGATTCCTAGGAGAGAGAAAAAACTTTTTGAGCAGCTGATTGCATTTTATGGACTTAAAATAGCTGATATCATCAGTGTGCTACACATGGCAGAGAGAAATAACTAATTAACAGGGAATTCCCTATGAAAACATAATTCTAAAGCATTTTGGCTTCACATTTCAACAGATGGACTGCAGAAGATACTAGAGGGGGTGGGAAACCAAGCTGAGCCAACTAAGTGATGGTTTTCTAGCTGAACCAGAAAATATTTTTATTCTTATTTTGACAAATCTGAAAAGAATTCAGAGCCAACATTTCCAAAGATAGGAGCCTGCAGAAAGGCTTCTAAATTCACGCTTCCAAATCCAAGACCCCATGTAAGTGGCTTGATTTTCCCCCAAACATAATGACAAACAGTCCCCATTGATTTCCCCACAGCAGAGAGAATGCTTAGAGACAGATAATGAAAGGGTGTGAGCCTACCATCCCCAGAAGGCTCTAGGGGAAAACCCTAGTCAGATAGTTAATTTAAGTGAATTGATCATGTGTCCCAAGCATTTGAAGCCAAAATCTTAAGTGAAGGAAAGTAGAACTTTGGCTGTTTCTATGTTATCATGTAAAGTCTATGAGGTCCAGTGTGTAAAAGGCTGGGTTTGGATCCCGCATCCTCTCCTGATGGAGGACTGTGTCAGTACACACCACTTTCATTCAGACACTCATCCGCAAACTGGAGGGTTAGGGACAACTGAATTCTACTACTGAGCAACGACCCGTTCCCATCACAACTCTACCTGCAACCACTTTTAACTGGATTGCAATAGCTAGGTGCAATGCAGGGGAAATTTAATGCCTTTCCATTTAATTGATTTCTATAGTATTTGAACATGCTTAGTTTCCTTGGGATTGCATCCGCTATTCTTGTAACTCCATAGTGCCATATGTAGAACAGAAAATAGGTACTGATATAGTGAAAAATAACAAATAGAAATGGAACAATTTTGAGCCAGAACAAAACTGGATGAGTTATTTCAACTATTTCAGATTACCATTCCAGGTGCCAAAAATAACAAACAAGAAATCACCCATCTATACCAGATTTGATTTTATTAGCTCCAAAGTCTGACTGCACTGCTAATAACACATACCTGTTCCTTTGTAACGGATGGAAGTACAGCCTTGCAATTAGTTGATATCTATCCTAGTTCTTCATCACTGGAGCTGGCAGAGTATACAAAATTGACCTAAAGAGAAAAACAAAGGAGGCATGTTTTTAACTTTGTGGCTTTTTAAAAGCATATTCTAGAAGATTACAATGTAGTCTCTACAAAAGCACTCATAAAGCAGTAGTATAATAGGGAACATTCAAAATCCATATTATTACAATACCTTTATCAGGCTTACCAAAATATTACAGAATAGTGTGCAATACTCTACTGCAATCTCTGTCAGAAAAACAGTAATGCACAGTGGGAAGAAAAAACTTTGATTTTTAAGCCATGAAATCTACATCTAATCATAGTCTTAGGATGAAATGGGAGAGGTGGTACCAGGCATTCAAATGAGGCTATGCTGGTATATTTGCACATATACCGTACCTGCTGGTAACAAGAAGCATAACAATGGCTTAATAATAATAATAATAATAATAAATTTTATTTATATCCCGCCCTCCCCAGCCTTAGCCGGGCTCAGGGCGGCTAACAACAATAAAACAGTACAAAAGTACAACATAAACAACACTCTAAAATCATTCATTCTAAAATTAATTAATTCAAGCCACTGGCAGCCATTGGGCCAGAGCTCCGCGAAGATTGCCAAAGGAGGGAGTCAGGCTGTGCCCTTGCCAAAGGCCTGGTGGAACAGCTCTGTCTTGCAGGCCCTGCGGAAAGATGTCAGGTCCCGCAGGGCCCTGGTCTCTTGTGACAGAGTGTTCCACCAGATCGGAGCCACAGCCGAAAAGGCCCTGGCTCTCGTTGAGGCCAGCCTAACTTCTCTGTGGCCTGGGACCTTCAAGATGTTTTTATTTGAAGACCGTAAGTTTCTCTGTGGGGCATACCAGGAGAGGCGGTCCCGTAGGTACGAGGGTCCTAAGCCGTATAGGGCTTTAAAGGTTAAAACCAGCACCTTAAACCTGATCCTGTACTCCACCGGGAGCCAGTGCAGCTGGTATAGCACCGGGTGAATGTGATCTCGCAGCGAAGACCTTGTAAGGAGTCTCGCTGCAGCATTCTGCACCCGCTGGAGTTTCTGGGTCAGTCTCAAGGGCAGCCCCACGTAGAGCGAGTTACAATAATCCAGTCTGGAGGTGACCGTCGCGTGGATCACAGTGGCTAGGTCAGGGCGAGAGAGGTAAGGAGCCAACTGCTTAGCTTGGCGGAGATGGAAAAATGCCGCCTTTGTTATAGCTGCAATCTGCGCCTCCATGGAAAGGGAGGTGTCGAAGATTACACCCAAACTCTTAACGGACGGTGCTGGCACTAATTGCGCCCCCGCAAGAGATGGGAGTTGCCCCCCCAATCCCATATCGCCCCGTCCCAGCCACAGGACCTCTGTCTTCGAAGGATTTAGCTTCAACCGGCTCCCACGTAACCATCCAGCCACAGCTTCCAAACATCTGGTCAGTGTGTCTGGGGCCGAGTCAGGATGGCCATCCATCAACAGATAGAGTTGGGTGCCATCAGCATACTGATGGCAACCCAGCCCAAAACTCCGAACAAGCTGGGCGAGGGGGCGCATAAAGATGTTGAAAAGCATCGGGGAGAGTATCGCACCCTGAGGTACTCCACATACCAAGGAGTGGCGCGATGACAATTCCCCCCCAAGCGCCACCCTCTGTTCCCGACCACAGAGAAACGAGCGCAGCCATTGAAGGACTGTGCCCTGGATCCCCACGTCGGCAAGGCGGTGGTCCAGAAGTTCATGATCGACCATGTTGAAAGCTGCTGACAGATCTAGAAGAATCAGCAGCCCAGACCCGCCTCGATCCAGCTGTCTACGAAGATCATCTGTTAGGGCAACCAGAGCCGTCTCAGTCCCATGACCAGCGCGGAAGCCGGACTGGAATGGATCCAGAGCCGATGTTTCATCCAGAAACCCACCAAGCTGTTCAGCAACCGCTCTCTCAATCACCTTACCCAGGAACGGAAGATTCGAAACCGGGCGGTAATTGGATAGATCTAAAGGATCTAAAGATGTTTTCTTTAAGAGCGGGCGCACCACTGCCTCCTTCAGTTCCCCTGGGAATGTCCCCGTGCCAAGGGACAAATTGATGATATCCCCCAGGAGGGCCCGCACCTCGTCTGGACACGCTCTAATCAGCCAAGACGGGCACGGGTCAAGAGGACAAGTGGTGGGCTTTCCAGCTCGGAGGAGTCTGTCCACATCGGCTGGGGATATCCGGTCGAAGTGGTCCAATACTGGACCCGAGGACAGTCGAGGGGCCTCCAGTTCCTTGTTCTCCATCTCTTAAAACATAAGAACTTACTCTAAGAAAACAGAAACAACAAAAAGCCCTGTGACACTGTAAAGGCTAACATATTTATTACAGCATAAGCTTTTATAAACTAGATCCCACTTCTTCAGATGCACAAAATGCTATCCTCAATTGGTATGTGTGTGTATATATATATTATAAGGGGTGTGTGTGTTAAAAAACGTAAACAGTGGGGTCAAGTGTCAATGACATACAAAAGTGTAGTTGGTGACCATTCAATTACAGCTTAAATGTACACAAAAATAAGCACAGTGATCATTTGCAAGTACAGTAGCTATAGAATGATCCTACAAGTACCCGATTCTCAGTGGCTTCACAATCAAACACCAGTACTTTGAATCAGGGTTAGAAGTGAGCCAACATTAACTACTTAAACCAGGGATGGTGACTTGCCAGATGTTGTTGAACTCCAACTCCCATCAGACCCAACTAGTATGGACAATGGTAATTTGAGTATTTATTTTGATTATTTAATTTCTATACCATTTAATATACTAAAAATATATCTACACAGTGTACAAAATACAACTTAAACAAAATATTACAAAAATATGCACTTACATATAAGAAGTAATACAAAGCTACAAATATATATATCAGTATCAATTCATTTTCCTTTTGACACTCTCCCTCTCAGCCTCCTCCAGGTTCTTACCCAAGGTCCAAACAAACTCTCAGCTCACCCAGAAAAGTCTCACAACGAGAAGAGCTCCTGGAAACAGCAGACATCATCCTAGTCTCTCACTTGAGACTTGCTTTTTATGGGCAGACCCAAGGTGGGTGCCCACAGCTGTGCCCCATTCAGCTGCACTGTCTACAACCAGTTCCAGGTACAGCAGCTTTATTGAGCTTTCCAGAGGGACCAGAGGATGGGAATAGGGCTCTCCCCCACTTACAGCTCTTTTTTCAACCTCTATCCTCTCCTCCTTCTTCCCTAGCTGCTTATTATTCAACACAGGGTCCCCATTCCTAGCTTAAGCACAAACAAGGTGGTTTCCCACTACCTGATCCTAGTTAGCAATCCTGCAGCTATATTCTTGCTGTACTTTACAGCAACTTGCAACACTTTGGAAAACTGCTGCAAGGCTACTTGTGCTTCTAAAGAGAGAGTTGGATCTAGGAGTATCCCCAAACCACAGATGTCATTCTTTAGAAATGCAACCCCATCCAGAATAGGTTTGAATACCACCAGCCCACACAACCAAACTGACCACCAACATAACCTCCACCTTTTCTTATACACTTAATTACCAATCCCAGTCATTGGTTCCGCATTTTCACCACCTGACCAGAATTAGATGAAATAGGAAAAGCAGGAAGTTCTGTGTCATTCACATATGCTTGATGCCACACTACAAATCTCTTGATGACTTGACTTAGCAGTTTTTACAAAAATATTGAACAGCAGTCTCATGAAGATGGGGGTTAAGATCAGTTGTCTAGAAAGGCAATTGCCTAGAAATGTTTTTTATAATAATTGTTTTCCCCACCAAACTATTGGATTACCTGTAAATGCAAACAGCCCCCAAAATATTAGATTTGGTCCACCTTTCAGGCATTTTCTGTACTCCATTTCAGCAAGTTATGTCTTTCCCTCTGTGCTTAGCGTTTCTGATCACCTACAGTCTCAGGGACTAATCCTACAATTTGGCAGAGTGAGGCACACACCTCAGGTGGTGGTTTTCTGATGTACTATGAAAGATCACCTATTTGCCAATTAATAAGTTTATTATATTTGTTTTATACATTTACTACCATAGAGCTATCTTGCCCTCTCCATAGGCTCCTACATCTATGGTTTGAGAAGCTGAGATCTAAAGAACTGCTTAAGCTCATACAGCACAGTGGAGTCCTTTATTCCCCTCTTAAACTCCCTACAGTTTCAAAAGAGATTTGCTGTGCAGCATGGTGTGAGGCTAATGTTCAAGAGAAACAAATCTAAAGCCTCCTTGGGTTCATGGAACTAGTTTCACAGTTGTTTGGATCCTGGCCAGTATTGTCCCAACTATGTGACAATGTTAAGAGTTATGCATTACAAAGCTGTGCTGTATACCTGCTAATACAGTGAAATACACACAGCTTTCCCACAAGCACACCCACACCCCATCTCATGTACAATGCAGAAATACACTGAGGTAAGCCCTGGTTACCAGCAGGTATATGTGCAAGAGTCGGACACGACTAAACGACCAAACAACAACAAAGCCCTGGTGAGCCCAAAGTCTCTAACAAGTCTGAATGACATACACAAGCAACAACAAAAAGCTATTTGAGCTTCATGTTACAATTTTAGCAAGTACTCAACACAGTTCTGTAGCAAGTACACATTATAACTAATATATGAAGCAGTCCTAAAAATTTGATTAATAGAAAGGCAAGATAGACGCATATTAAATAAATAAATTAAGGCAACATTAGTTTTGTTACCATCCTGAACTTGGCCATTGCAGGCTCTGTGACCCGGCTAATCAAGAACTTAGGGGCACTGTAAGCTGTCCTTTATGAAAAAGAAGTGATGATCTCTGGCACTATTAAACAGTCCTCACAGTATGATCCTAAATATGCTTGTTTGGAAGTAAGGCCACAATCCTTCACACTCACACTTGGGAATAACTCCTACTGTATCAGTGGGGTATATACTTTTGTGTAGGCATACACAGGCTTGCTCCATAAGTCTCAAAGAGTTAAATGGAGAATTAACTTCCTATTATACATGTTTAGGATTGCACTGCAATCAAATGAGATTTCCCCCCCCCCCTTCTAAGTACACCTAATAGTGTAGCCTTTGGCTGTACACTTTCTACAATGGTTTTGTATTATAATGCATGAAGGAATAATTTGGGAAGGGTAAGCATGCATGTCTATTTCAAAAAGAATGCATGCACAAACAACCCCTGGTGTTTGAATCAGGATTTCCCACCAAGCACTCATTTTCTGCTGGAAACAGGTGTGCTTGCTACCTTTTTCATATTTGCAGCTCTGAAGCCACAGGTGTGCACAACAGTATCTTCTGGAATAAGTATGAGATCAAGCCATATTGGTAATGGAAAAAAGAGGCCAAAGAACACTTATTAGAAGCATATCTCAACTTAAGAGCTCCCCAAACCACCCAATCACACGTACAAAAAAGAGAACACTGCCAAATGCTCAGCAGTAGTTCCATATACCTGTCCATTCACTGTTTACATTTTAATGGAAATTCTTTTCCATCCCTAACACAGTGTGCTTTAGAAGCCAAAAACAAATGCTGCATCAATGGAAGATGAATTTATGTTGACCTTTACCAGGAAAGCACTGTAAGACAGAGCACTTAAGCATTTAGAGTGCAGTACATCTTCACATATTATGCAGCTCCATGGCAATAGGGAAAGTGCTAACCCAGTAAAGTTACCCAGGGGACATAAAATGAAGTATATAAAACTCTCTAGCGGAATGTTATATAATATTCCCAGGTCAGGATTTGCAACTTTTGAAGACTTCTTTGTTCCATTTGGACAGGGGGTAGATTTGTGGATTCAGAATTCAAAATATATATTTTTTAAGTGTCACAAATATAGACTTGCTTTCTTTTAATGCCTAGCTACAAATCGTAAGAGAAAATATTAGTGGTAAAACTGAGCTCATACTCCTTAAGTCTCTATCACCAAAGTAAGTCCATTCATTCAAATAAAACAACTCCAGAGTACAGTATGTGATTTGCAACTTGAGTTTAAACCTAATAATTAAACTGTTTCAAGAGTATGTATTTCCTGCATGAAAAGTTAAATATTACATGTACTTGAAAACTGCAACCAAACGTTTAACAAGCTATTTAAATATGAATGTGTGCTGAATAATATGAAAAACTCGCCACCCTCAACCTTCACATTCTTGGTTAATAGCACTTTTAAGTCCACCTTCCCACAAAGAACACACACAACTATCCTGTGTTTAGGTCCAGAGAGAGGTTTTCCTTTTAGCTGCTCACAATGATTTTTATCTGTTCTTTACATCAACTCACCATCCCTCACTACACAGAATCTCTAGTCTAGAATAGGGATTCCCAGCATCCAGAAGATGTAAACTAGAATACCCCTCATTCTTGACCATTTGCTATGGTTGGCCACCAGGTTGGCCACCCCAGGTCTAAACTGTGCATGGTTCCCCCCCCCCCATACCAACTGAACCACTGCTTCCCTTGACAAGGGCCAGCCCAAAACATTGGGCTACCTGAAGCAGATAGTGCCTTTCTGTATTTCATGTACAAAAGCCACCGAGACTGGCAGTTTAGTATCACTTCAACACTGACAATGGGACAACACCCTCCATGATACCTGAGTGCAGCAGGCTAGCTTAGAAGGCACAGGGTAGCCTCGCTCTGCCCTGCCCTTGATAGTTCATCCAACAGGAGTAAACAGTATGTGAACTCCAACACATAAACACATACAGCACACAAAGGCTTGCAACGTACTTCCAATTCTTGTCTCAAGAAGTCACTGTTCAAATGCTAAGGAGTGGCTTATCTAAGGCCACTATTAAACTCACACCTGGGGACAACCTGCCCCGTTAGACCAAGAAACACAGTTGCGAGCTCATTACATTCCTTCATAGGTTTGAAAACTGACCTCCTGACCCTTCATTTTACTCAGTTTCATCTAGAAAACCAGTTTCCTAAACCACTTCTTCAACTGATGAGTGGAAACCTTTAACTGGGCTGCTCACACCCCTACCTGCAATTGGCTATATTAGCATTATCACTTCCATTTCCTTATTTAGGAATGAGAAATATGTGGGAATAACTAAAACCAAGGCAAATCATTATTTATATAGTTTGTGTGTGTGTGTGTATAAAGTGAATCCCAAAGTGATATATAACTCAATCTCCTTCAAGCACCTCTAAACTTGGGATTTGAACCTTGGCCTAAGGCAATAATTATAAATCCAATTATAATAAACTCACTTTTCTCCCTCCTAACCTACGCAGAGAATATATATTTTCTTATGCTGTTTTTCTGGGGGGCGGGCTTCCTGATTCTTCTTTTCCACAGGGTCTCTTCTGTTGAGCACCCACCCCTTGGGCTGGATCCAGACTCTGCCTTGCGTCAAAGGAGTTGTTAAGACGTTAACCCCAGCCGAGCGCGGGGACGTTAAAAAACGCCGCGACGCAATGATGAATGGGGTTGCTGGGCCGGCATCTTAAAAGCCCAGGCTTTGGCTTCTCTTTTAACTGTTTCAAACTGACAGAGCCATAGATCACACAAACGCGCCCGCTAAAAGGAGAGAGGCATTTGGCCATTTCGCTTAAGAAAATCACGCGTGCACGAGCCTGCTCAGCCTCTCAGCGTCTTCCGAGAGGAGGACCGGGCTCTTTTCTCACGCGCACCTGCGTAGGCATATGTGACAGAAAACGAACCGCGGGATACTAAAAAAGCAGCAGCTCTCAGCCACCGCCCGTCCCCCTCGGCACAAAGCGCGCGGGCGCTACGCCTCCAGCGCTTTGCAATCACGCCTAGAAGAGGCTGTAGCGCTTGCGCATGCGCAGAATTTCCCGTTGTTTGGCGCGCGCGGCCGCGGCTCTTCCTGTTCTCCTCCCCCACCCACCCTTTCTCTCTTTCTCTTTCTCTTTTTTTTTTTCTCTCTCTCTCTCCTCCTTGTGGAGAAGTTGGCGCGCTGCCCGCTCAGGCATTCAGCGCGAGCTCCTCAGGGATCAGCAAGCAAAGTCACAGTCTGCACAAACAGAGCTTTCAAATTCATAAAATTCATAGGATTTTTCACAAATGAATGAACACAATTTTCTACCAATTTCCTCATTATGCAAATATGCAAAATATCAAATTTAGGCCAATTAGGGTCCTCCACAGTCCCAAATTCACCCGTTTAAGCCATAATTGCAGAAACTATCAAATAATTACGGCCGCTAATTGGAAATATTTGTGACAGATACAACAAATTCTTGCACAAATTACATTTCATTTTAGGAACCACTGCGCGCCACTGAAATTTTATCGAAGTCTAATTTAACTTACATAATGAGTTGAATTGAGTACTTGTTATCAAATTTGAGCAATTCATAGCTCCGTAATGTGGAATGATCAAATAAATTAAAAGGGAATTTATTCAATATTTTTGTTGTGATCCTTTTTTTTCGAAACCATTGCTATTTTGTGGGGAATTTCCTTCCTCCTCTCGCTCCCGCTGCCTGAGGTGGCTGACATCTGTCATAAAAAAAATATATTTAAAAAAAACAAAACAACCACCCCACCAGCTGCAGTGGAAAGGAGGAGGGAAAGCAAGCAGCAGCAGCAGCCGCGAGCTGCCCTGATAGCTGACAGAAGAGGAAGGGCAACATTTCCAGTCATGGTTCCTTCCTCAGCGCTATCATTCTTAGCCCAGAGAGAGAGGCAGCGAGAAATCATAATACAAACATGCTCGACTTTCCTGACGGGGAGGAGGTGGCGGGGAATAAAAAAAACCACCTCGGGATTTATTTCATTTATACTTCCGGGTGAATGGCGAGAACAAGAAGCGTGACTTGTGTGAACGGAATTGTGCTGACACCCTAAGCGCCCTTTCCCCCCGCCTGGCCCCGGGAAACTAAAAGGCGCTTCCCCTCAACTGCCTGCTCGATTCGAATTCCATCGCCACCCTTAGCTCACCCTATCCACGTGACTGTTTCTCGCCAATCCGATCTTAGGGTGAAGGCTTCAAACTTAACGCACTTGAGGGAGATTCCCACGGGAGCTGAATGCCAGCCTTAAAGATCAGGGTCTTTGGATGCCCATGAGCGTCTTTATCTGCCATTGTTTCCCATTTCTTGTTCGCCTTATCCCTAAAGTTACAGTTCTAGACACAGGCTTTTAGGGGGGGAATGTCGTGGCAAGCAAGCCCTACATTTAAACAAAAACCAAAACCACCCCCTTCTAACGGGGTGATATGATATCGATCAGAAAAGGTTTTGTGATGTGTGTCAGGCTCAACCTTCGGCGAGTCTCTCGTTAAGGGAATGCAGCCCAACGCCATTGGTTGTGTTCCCATGTTGTTTTAAGGCCATCCAATTGATCGGAATAAAATATTTTTGGCAACCAATCTGGATTAACGCACTTCCAGACAATCTAGTCTTGCGGGATGCAGGCCTTGTAGCCAGTCAAAATTCCAATTTTAAACAGAGGGTAACCTGTTTACATTCTGAGGATAACCTGTTTACATTCATGGATTCATCCAGAGAATATGTATATGTATATAAAGATGTAATCTTATATATTAGGTAAGAGTGTGATTAACCTTTGCACAAACACATGTGAATTGCTCACCCAGCCTGTTATATCAAAACAGACTTTCACATATACTGTAAAGTATGGGTGTATATGGAATTATATGTCCAATAATTGTACATATTAGCAATGTATATTCTTCACAGTGGCCACTATTCAGTAGCGAGCCACACTTTCTTAAACCCACCAATATTAATGGAATTTCAGTGCATAACACTGTGCTCTGAATTATGGCCAGTTTGTTAGTGCCAATATGATCTATTCAGTACTGACATAACTATTTATATGCAATACATATATTATGTACATGATATACATAATATATGCACTTCCTTAGTCAATGGTCAGAGAGTAGTTTATTATTATTGGCCCATTTTGCAGAAAATTCCTTAAGTAGGAAAAAATGTGTAAGGCTCATAATACAATAATGCAATATATGGCACTCTGTATATATGTATACAATGTGTGTGCTTGTACTATTATATATAACTTGCATTTATCTCTGTATACCCCTGAGTTGCCCTCTCAGGAGAAGGTCAGCTCCCTGGCCAGAGACGTTATTTTTCTTCCTCACCGCCATTCTCACATCCACACACGCACCATTTTTAACTGCCTGTGGCCTCGTTGGCGGATTATAAATGTCTTCTTCTCGCTGTGATTTGTTTAATCCGTGGAAATGGTGCTGGTCCTATGTAAACAAGCCAAGTGCGGAATGAAGGCAGCCACCCATGCGTGGCCAGCCTGCCTATTTGTCAGAAAACCTTCATAAATACTGAGCCGGGGCTGGGCAAGGATGTGATGTCTCCATTTTTGCCAGGAAAGGGCACGAGGAAGACAAAGCGAAGCAGTGCGCCGTGTAACCTTTAAGGGACAGATAGAGTGTTGTGCTGCTCTTCGCCAGAGACTCGCTCGCTCGCTCGCTCCCCTCCCTCTCTCCCTCTCCCTCTCGGTAATTCACCGCCAGCGAGGATGGATGACGGGTTATCCAGAGTATCTAGACCCGTTTCTGCGTGCAGCATGTATGTGTGCAAAGACAAAGTGACGAAGACAGTCCAATAATATCTTCGTCCCTGAACCATTCTGCAATCCAGCTCTAATTGTCTGGCAAGCTGACACGCTCGCATCCAGTTGTGGGGCTTTTGTGGGGTTTGGAGCGGAAAACGTGGCCCATCCAGCTTGGTAGGCGCACCCAGAAAGCGTCGGATCGTTCTATGAAGAAATTCGCCTTTCTTTCTTCCTTATTTCAGAGGTTTACTTTTTCAGTTATCCGTGTTGCTGGACAATACCTTGTTATTTTCTTAGGCTCTGCTTCGCATTGATCCGATCTTGTGTCCGCTGGAGATTTTAAGAGAAACACATATGTGTCTGATCAGAGCAGCAATTACCTCCTGTAATTATTACAGTCCTTATTTATTACAAAAAAGTGGGAAAATGTCGAGTATTAAAACGTGAAAGCAGCTATTAATCAAACCTTTACACCTTCTTTAGCTCAGGCGTGATGGTGGGTATTATCATAAATCTACTCTGATAGTAACACAAGAATAATGAGTTCAGTAATGATAGCGATGATGATGATAATGATTTTAACCAACAAAGAATAGTGTAGATTTATTGCTAATAACGTGGTACAGGAACCTCTTCATTAAAAATTACCTATATGTACTCCTCATGGTTGAAGATGAGATTGCCAGGAGTTTTTTGGGTGCGTTATGGCGCTCCAAACAACTGCTAAGGAGCAGCAACTTGAACTACACTAGCGAATGGTGACCCGGAACTACTTATAATGCCGATTTCTAAAATAGGCAGCTCGATATACACTGTCCAGAAACGCCCCTAAATAGTTCGGCTTAGTTCTCGCCTTTCCCCTACCCATCCGCAGCAGGAGAGCTAATTCGGGTATAACCTCCTCCACACACACACACACACACACACACACACACACGTGCGAACGTGTTATGCCCCAGTCAGAATGATTAACAAGATTCCTGGAGAACACATGCATGAATTTGGCCTTGTTTAGAGAAAGCGAGGCAGAATTGTGAATGCCGAAAGGCACACTTGGCCCCAACCCTGCGAATGAAATATACCCACCTCCCAAGCTACAGGGAAGCAAGTCCTCTGCACAAGACTTTAACTCTACTTGCTTATGAGCATCTTGGTTTAGCTTAGCAAATTTGAAAATATTTGCATTAAGGGGAGGGAGCAAAAACAGCTCTCCCCCAAACTTCAAGGGGGTTCATTGATTACATTTTTGTTTTGTTTTGAGTGGAAGATCGACCTGATTCTGGCGTGGTAGATTTTAGTTCGTCGCTGTTTCATTGCCTTTACGGGAAGGACTGTGGAGTAAATGTACTACGGTTGTATATTGCTGAGTTCGTAGGAATTATTGGCTTCTGTGTTTAAGAGGATGGGGGAGGAGGCTTGGTGCAAGGAGATGAGGGTTAGACAAGCGCTCGGTACCGTTTGAGGATACACACACCTGAGTCATTACAGCGCACAGAATTAATCAGTATTTGGGGACCTAACAGACAATGGGGGCTTGCTGTCATGTCTTCGCCTCGCCACAGAGCAAACGCAAAGGCAAGTCGGCGGCAGCGCCTGCGCTCATGCGCTCCTTTCACTAAAAACAATAAAGGTCATTTTCTACTGAAGTCTGACGCGGATGCTCAAACACACACACAGGCTTTGTGGAGTTTATCCTTATATTTAAAGTTGAAAGTCTTCACGAATTTTATAG